ATGTCCATATTAATATATTTATAACATATTTCACCTTTCGTGTCCCGAGTATTTTAAATCTTTTGTAATGTATCTGTAAGAATATGTGACCCGAAAGCATTGGGCTCACAATTAATTATCCTATTGACTAGACCTTTATTTAATAGTCCAACAAATCTAAGCCATTAATCTAGATATTTGATGGACGTACCAGATCTAAAGACACACTTATATAAATTGGTCCTCTCTCCTCCTATAAGGGTACGCAGTTATTTTCCCATCAGTTTTCTGCTACGTGAAGAGAAGGTTAGGAGGGAGAAACTAATTTAGATCTAACAATCGATCAAGCCTCATGTGATAATCAAGATCAAGATCACTAATTATGTTGTCTTCCGCATCAAGTAAGTATTTCGTATACACCAAATTATTTATTCAAGATCCATGATGAAATTTACATTTGGTATCAGAGCATGTGTTGTGAATATTTGATTGCAAAAATTCGCTCAAGCATGACCGCATAATAATTGATGAATGTTATGATTGTTCCTTTAGTGAGATTCACATCAAATTTATATGCCTGTATATGGCTAATTGGCTATGCTTGATCCGTTAACGTAATCGGTATCCACACTGAATGTTCTGCTAGAACTTTTGGTTCTGTTCATGAATGTAATTATTTCTCCTGCACCTGCTTGAATCGTGAATGTGGGTGATTTTGTTGGTGTAATTTAATGGCACTAGTAATGATTATATATTAAAATTGTAATTCATTTTAATATATGCAATTGTGTGGGATAAACATTGCAATTTGGGTCAGCGAACAATCATGAACAATTAATATTTATGATTATTATTATTTTGGATGTTTTCGGGACCTATACTGTGTACATCATTATGTGCTTATAATTTTTATTATCCCAATGCGATTAAAGATGAGGATGATTGGATTGACAAATTCTCATTATTTTTATGAATAATAAGGTTTAGTTTGTTAACATTATGATTATCTGTTTAGGCAAAATTAATTTGTTAGCCACCAAAGTGGCCTGATTAATTTTTAATGTTTGGTCATATAATATTATTGTTACAATTATTTGTAATTATATGACATTAAGATAAAATTAACTTGTTAGTCACCAAAGTGGCCTAATTAAATTTTAATGTTTGGTCATATAATTTTATTGTTATAATCGTTTGTTATATGACATTAAGAGAAATCAATCTGTTAGTCACCAAAGTGGCCGAATTGATTTTTCTAATGTTTAGTCATATAACTTATGTTCTCTTGAGAATGTCATTATTTTTGGTAATGAGTTTATTGGTTAGAAATTATGGATTTACCCTATGGTGAATCAATGTTCTATAACTAATAAACATTAAGGAGAAATATAATGTCCTTTGTCGAGCGTATGTAGATATCCAAAGATACTATGTAAGTTAGACGAAGTTTATTTAATTTCTCATTAAGTGTTGAATGACATTCGACTTATGATAATGATATATATTGTTGAGTTTACTCAAAGGAGACCTGCCATATACGTTATGAATGTATTTTCTGAATCTATTAATTAAGTGAGCATTTATGATTGTGCAAGTGTCTCTCTTCATTCGCTAATTTTTTGTTACTGTCTTTAATGATTTGAATTTCTCTGAATGGCTTGACCAAGTCAATTTCCATTTATGTGTTTTGGATATTGACATGACACTGCTTGAAGCTAAGCCCGCTGGCATTAATGATCAAAGCAACGAGGCTAAGAAATCAAACTGTAAGGTTTGAGACAGGTCTAACAGATTATGTTTGAGCTTGAATGACGATTGCCTACAACATTAAGTTTACTCTTCCCGATAATGTGGATGCGAAAGCGTATTTTTGCTTGTGGAAGAGTGTTTCCATTCGCGGATAAGTCATTGGTAGGAAACTTTATGGATGAACTCACGACCATAAAGTATGATAAGTCGCGTAGTATGCAGCAACATGTTCTTGAGATGACTAATCTTGCAGCAAGGCTTAAGTCCCTGGGCATGACTGTGATGACTCATTTCTGGTGCAATTTATGTTTAACTCGTTGCCTCTTGAATATGGGCCTTTTCAAATTAACTATAACACTATTAAGGATAAGTGGGATGTTAATGAATTGGCCAGTAAGCTTGTTCAGGAGGAGACGAGGATTAAGGCACAAGGAGTTCATACGGTCAACCTTGTGGGTCGTGGAGCTAATGATGTTCTCAAACCAAAATCCAACAAGTTTAAGAAGAAAGGACCTGCTAAAGTTTCACAGGTCACTAATGATGAAAAAGAAGGTCACATAAATGTTATTTCTATAGGAAAGAAGGTCACATACAGAAAGATTGCATGAAACGCAAGTCTTGGTTTGAAAAGAAAAGTATTTCTAATATCTTTGTATGTTTCAAATCAAACTTGTATGAAGTTCCTTCAAATAGTTGGTGGATGGATTCAGTGCTACAATTCATGTTTCTAATGTGATGTAGAGATTTCTTAAAATCTAGAGCGTAAACCCAAATGAGAACTTTTTGTTCATGGAGAACCGTATGAAGGCCCCAATTGAAGGCATAGGGACTTATCGTATTGTTTAGATTCCAGGCACCACCTGGATCTTTAACAAACTCTCTATGTACCTTCATTTTCTAGAAACTTAATGTCTATTTCTAGAGTTGATGTTCTTGGGTTTTCCTTTAAGTTTGGAAATTGATGTTTCAGTTTAATTAATAAACATGATTTCGTTATAGATTCTGGAATCCTTATGGATGGTTTATATAAACTAAGACTTAATGTTGAATTTTCTGCATCATTGATGTGTCAGAACATTGAAGTTAAACGTGGTGTAGCAAATTAGAACTCTACTTTATTGTGGCATAAGGTTTGGGTCATGTATCCAAAAAAAGAATGCAAAGGGTGGTGAAAGATGAGATTCCTTTGGATCTATATTTTACCGATCTTGGGGTTGTGTGTGGATTGCATTA